GGGGTCAGTGGGATCCGTCTCCCTTCTGAGTGCCTAGAGGCTGGACACCAACTAGAGGCGGCGTGCCCACGACACACAAGCCAGTTGCTAGGCACTGGAACTTCACGGCATGTCCCATCCTGACCAACAGGACAGGGGATGGGCAATTAACCAAACACGTCCAGTAAGGAAAGCGTCCCCGACTCAGGAGTCCGGAGAAGGGATGCCCAGCCCAGACTCGGGTGCAGGGGCAGGTGGGGGCTGAGGTAGAAGCGACACCCACTCTCTCTAAGAACCATTCCAGGGATGGCCCCCAGGTCACCTCTTAGCATTCCAGGCCCACACGTCTCCTACTTGCCTCTGCGTGCCTGGCTCCAGGGCCCCCGGCACTCCAGATAAGAGTCACAGTTGGAGGCCAAAGGGCCAGACTCACAGGACAGGATACTCAGATAGAGGGGGTCAGGCTCCAGAGGGAGGCCCTGGGAGGCCACTGTTGAGGCAGCACGGCGGGGGGGGGTGGCCCCACAGCAGAGGCCTGAACCCCAAGGCGTCCCCCCTTCCCCCCGGGCAGCCATCTGGTTCTCTTCAACCTCAAACCTCGGTCTCATTTGGAGGCTGAAGCTTCCGTGGGAGACAGCTCCCTCGCTCTGGGCCCCCTCCCCACCTCCCACCTGCCTTCTCCCCTCTGCTGACTCAGCCCTCCTGCCTCCCCAGGCCCCTCCCTCATTTCTCCACCCTTCACCGGGTAGCTCCCCACACTCAGGCAGAGACTGAGATGGAGACGGGATGGCCATGGTCCTGCCCTGCTCCTCTTCCTCACCCCGGTGCCAGCAGGGGCTCTGCAGGGGGAGGTGTGAGATCATGGGGGCAGCACCACGCCGGCACGGGATCAGCAGGGACGGGGCCCTAGATGCTTCGTCCTCTTGCCCACTGGACTTGCTGGTCAGTCAGCTGGAGCTTCTCGCCTTGGGCAGCCCCTTGGGTGCTTCCCACGCTTACTGCTTCCATGAGGACCCCCCCCCCGAAAAGGCATGTGGGACACAGGCAAGGAAGGTGCAGGCTCTCAGCCAGGTATTCAAGGCAGAGCACCACCGGGCACCTGTCCGCTCCTCTGGGTTTCTTCCACTCTGCAGGCAGCCTGTCCCCGGAGCCGGCAGGGGCCGTGTGCCTCTCCACTCACCTGGACACAGCGGTGCCTCCATCGACTGCCCTATTTAGGAGCAGGCGAGCAGGCTGCAGAAACCGGGTTTGTCTTGGCCTCTCTTCTAGAGGTTTCCAGGCATTGAGGGTGGGGTGGGCAAAGGGCCTCTGACGGCCTGGGCTTCAGCAGGGCGTCTTGGAGCCTGGGGTCTTCCTGTTTGCCACATGTTCATGAGCCCCTGATGAGGCTTTTCTCCTCCATGAAATGGGGGAAAGGGCCAGTGCTGTGGCGCAGTGGGCTAAGCCTCCGTCTGCAGCCCTGCCATCCCATATGGGCGCCGGGCACGTCCTGGCTGCTCCTCTTCAATCCAGCTCTCTGCTGTGGCCTGGGAAAGCAGCACAAGATGGCCCAAGTCCTTGGATCCCTGCACCCACGTGGGAGACCAGGAAGAAGCTTCTGACTCCTGGCTTCAGATCGGCCCAGTGCTGGCTGTTGCCACCATTTGGGAAATGAACCGGTAGATGGAAGACCTTTCTCTCTGTCTCCCTCTCTGTAGCTCTACCTCTCAAATAAATAAATGAATAAATAATCTTTTTAGAAAGTAGGGGATACAACCATGAGTGCACCCCTGCGGCACTGTTGTGGGGACTGCCTGAAGTGCTGCTTATACACGTCAGGCACTTGAGAAATGTTAGCTGCCCCTGGCCTGGCTGGGGCTACACACTCTGCTGCAGAGGGTCCCTGGCCAGAAGGTGCCTGGCTCCTCCTGTGGCAGCCCAGCCCCCACCCGGACAGCACCGGCTGTGAGAAACTCCTGACGTCAGTCGTCACTCGGGGACACTCTGAGTGGAAGTGACAGAACTCCAATTCACTGGCTCCCCAAATAAAGGGAATTTATGTGGCCCAAGAAATTGGGACGGGTGGAAGGGGAGCTGACCGCAAGGGCTCCAGCCACCCCAGTAGTGCAGTCAGCTCTGTCCTCTGTCCTGCAGCCATGGGTTTGTTCTGCTACAAGACCCAGGCCAAGCCGACAATGACCCCCACTGGGCCCAGAGGGACAGGCTTTGTCCTTCCAGGGGTCACACGCCCAAGCTCCCAGGGAAGGAGCATGACTGGCTGGGCTTGGGTCACATGACTGCCCATGGGCCAATCACTGACGACCAGGGCAGTCGTGATTGGCCAGATCTTGTCACATGACCGGGAGTAGGCCCCGGAGTACTGTGAGGGGCAGCCATATTGGAGATTGGGCGGGTGGATTCTCCAGAGATTGAGGCTGTTTCCAGAAGTCTGAGCAAACAAAACCAAAAGAGGGTGATTACTCGTCTCCCCTGGGGCCTGATTCTAGTCGTAGCCCCAGGAATAGTAGAGCCACTGTTGTTATCCAAACCCACAAGACGACCGCAGGGCCGAGGACTCCGGCAGCTCACGCCCAGTTCTTGGCGCCTGGAGGAAGCCAAGGTGCCCAGGGGAACCCCAGCTGGGTCTCCCACATGGGTGCTTGAGTCTCAAGAGTGCGAAGCTGGGACTGAGCAGCGAGGTTGCGGCCCTCTGATGGGCCCATGGTGCGCGCAGCCTCCTTGTGATTGGTCGGTGACGGGGCCTGGTGTTTCCCGTAGAAAGGCGAAGGCGGGCGGGGGTCCGCCTGGTCTGGGGCAGACTGGCTGCGTGCCCGGCTCTCGGAGCCCGCACAGAGGTCTGAGCCGTGATAGCCGCAGGGGCATCTGGGCCTCTCACGCTCGCGCGCTCCCTCCACTTACTGAGCGCGTCCCGGCAGATGGACTGGAATGGGGGAAGGGACACTGGGGCGTCGAAGGCACTGGGCGTCCAGGGACCGGCTGCGCTGTGACCCACGCCGGTTCTTGCGGTTCTCCGTGTATGCATGCAGCCCACGCCTTCCCCACCACTGGGCAGGGGCAGCATTCCGGCTGGAAGCTGCAATGGGCTTGACTTGAGAATTATCAACCGCAGGCTGAGGGGAAGAGGACCCCACAGTGACCCTTCCTCCCACCCCCAGCCCCGGTGGGCAGGGCAGGACAGCTCTGCCCCGCAAACAACATCGACTTACTCCTCACCGTCCGGAGGCCCCGCAGTCTGACCAGGGCGTGGTCAGACACCCACGTTTGGTTGCAGAACTCTGCCGGCTTCCAGCTGTGTCCTCTCGGGAGGGCTCCTCCCTCGATTGATTGATTGATCTGAAGGGCAGGATGGTGGGGAGAGACAGAGATGTCACGGGAAAGCGGCCGATCGAGGCTGGCGTTGTGGGTGGTGACCGAGTTCAGGAGGGCAGTCAGAGAGAGAAAAGAACAGGATTTCCTGGACCCTGCAAGGGGGCGGCGGGCGGGCAGGCAGGAGAACCCGAGGCTGAATGGGGCCACACAGACTGTAACGCCAGAGCTACACCCAGGGCCGGGGGACCGTAACGCCAGAGCTACACCTGTAAGGGCAGCCTCCTCCCAGTGAGGGTGAGTTTGTTTCCCTGCGAGTTTTCCCAGTTACAGAATTCGCCTTTCTGGGCGGGACTGGCAAGCTCTTATTCCTGTTAGCTGGACTTTTCCTGCCCACCAGATGCCCTGAATGACCTCCACAAGAGCGAGAAAGAGAGAGCTCTCCCCTCCACTGGTTCACTCCCCAAGTGCCTGCAACGGTCGGGGCTGGGCCAGGCCGAAGCCAGGAGCCAGGAACCCCACCTGGGTCTCCCACATGGGTGCAGGGACCCAAGTGTTTGGAGCGTCATCCGCTGATTCCAGGGTGCATTAGCAGGGAGCTGGATGGGAAATGCTGAGTACCCCAGTGTTGGCTGATGGGTGTTCCAGGCCCCCCTTAACTCGCTGTGCCACAACGCCCCCTTGTTGGAAGGCACCCCCTTAATACCATCCACCTATGACTGTGGGGGCCCGGACACCCTGTATGGCAGCCACTTCCTGGAGGACGAGGTGGCCTGGAAGGAAGAAGATGGCAAAGCCAGAGCTGGGCTCAGGAGCCCCTGTGAGAAGAGTGGAGCCGTCTCTTGGTTGTTGCCCGGCTGGCAGGGGAAGGGGCTTCTGTCTTTGCTCTCCCAATGGGCTGCTCCACGGAGGTGACCCTAGGCTAATGAGGAAGCCTTGGGAAGTGTGAAACCAATTAAGCAGCAAATGGCTCTGATGAGTTCTTTCGCTTGATGAGCATTCGAATGAGCAGCGTCCCCTCCCGGCATCCCCGCCTCTGCCTGGGTCTGCCTTGCAGGAACCTCAGGTGTCCGGGTCGGCGGGCAGGGGGTCTAGAGTGGGGTCCAGGCAGCTTCCTAGGACACAGCAAGCTCTGCCAGTTGCCTGCATTGCCCCTAAGGTCCCAGAGCCCTGGGGAAGGGGTTAGGGCTGTGGGGACAGACCGACAGACAGTGGAACAGAGACCAGGTGATCCTGAGCCACAGAGCCGCGGACCTCTGCCAGGTCACTCGGCAAACAGGCTGAAACGTAACACAAAAGGTTGTCAGGGCAGGGGCTGGCATTTGGCACCGCGGTGACGTGGAGGCTTGGGAAACCCACCTCCCATAGCAGAGTGCCTGGCTTGCGTCCTAGACCCTCCACTCCCCTGCCTGCAGCTCCCTGCCAACGCGCATCCAGGAAGGCAGCAGGTGACGGCACCCTGACTTGGGTCCCCGCCACTCTCGCGGGGTGCCTGGATTACGTTCCTGTCTCTGGCTTCAGCCCGGCCCAGTGCTGGCTGTCGGCGGCTGGGGCAGTGGACCAATGAATCTGAGCTCCATTGGTCTGCCTGTCACTCTCTGCTCTCAAGTGAGTTGGGGAAATGTTTAGAAAAGCCTAAATTCTGCAACTTAAAAGGGAAGGAGGGCTTTTCTGCAGGCTCCTCGTCACCGTCTTCCTCCTCTTCTGCCTTCCAGGGTACCTCTTGTTCGTCCGCACCGTCTCCTCCCCTGGCATGGCTGGCCCAGGGTTCCAGAAGGGCCTGGCCAGGCCCTGGATTTTCCTAGCACTTGCCTGAGCTCTGCAGGGAGGTGTCCTTCTCAGCTCGGGCACCTGGTGATGACACGTTCGGATCCAAGAGAAGGACCCAGGTGCCTTGATGGGGACGACAGGGCCGAGTGTGGAGGAGACCCTGGGCGGAAGCCAACCTTCAGGGTCACACTGGCTCCCGGGGCCCAAAACGGGAGCCAGAGCAGCTGGATCTGGGGCGGCCACCTCGACAGGGCTCTCACCACGTGCCTGGCCCTGGACGGACTTCTTGGAGTTACTATTTCGTTGAGTCTTCAACGTGCTCCGCCCCTGGAAGTGGGCGTCAGCATCCCCTTTCATGCAGGCTCCGAGAGTTTGGGAACTTGTTCGAGATGCCCCGTCTGTTCCCCGGCTGCCCCCAGGGTCCCGCATCAGCCAGAGGTTGCCAGCAGAGGTTCGCCAGGGTGAGAAGCTTCCCCAGGCCGCCACACCGATTTCCTGCCTGCAGAGAACTGGCCTCGGATGACCTGGGGAAAACGATGGAGGAGCCGGGAGCAGGATTCAGCTCTGTAACGCCCGTCGCTGTCTCAGCCCCAGCTCGCGAGTTCAAGGTGCTAAGGAAGTGGAAGCTTGAACAGGGTGGCCTCTGGGAGCGAGGCCTCCTGGTGGGGGGTCCCTGGGCTTTGGGGGAGCACCCTGTTCTGGCTCTGCTTCCCAGCTCCCACTACCGCCATCAGGTGCCGGGGGGCCCCGCTCCCATCTGCAGCAGTGAATCTCCCAACCCTGGAGCCGACACGCTTCCCCCGCCACTCACCACACTGACGCAAAGCCGACCCTCACCCATCCCGCTTCTGCGCACCCCACGCTGACTCAGCAGGCCTGGGGGTCTAGGACTCTGCATTGTAACACACCGCCTCTCCCCCCTCCCATCATAACAGAACAACCCTGTTCCTCACAAGAGCCCGGAACCCCAGTGGCTGCCTGCGGGGGGCCCAGGAGGCAGCGTTTTTTTGTTGGGCTTCTCTGGGAGACCTGGCAGCAGCTTGGAAGCGCCTGCTGGGGTTGGACCCCCATGGCTGTCACCCAGTGGCTCCGAAGACCCCCTGGGCTTGGCCTCCCTGACAGAGACAGGTAAGGCAGGAACCTGGCTCAGAGGAGGTGACTCCCCAGGACGTCCCCATCGCCCAAGACCCCATCAGAGGTTTCCATGGAAACGCACCCTCCATGCATGCATTGCCCAGGACCCTCTTCCTCAGAAGCCCTGGGGCCACCCCTGGGCTCCCTGCTTCCTGGGCCCCTCCCACCCCATCCTGCCCCCCTTCCAAGAATGCCCTCCCCTGGGTAATTGGACCCTCGGGCCATTGACATTTAAAGAAATGTTCTTGACCTTTTGAGCAGTTCCATAAAATCACAAAAGAGTCTCTAAATATTACCGCAGCCTCCTCCCTGCCCGGGCCCTGGCAGAGACGGATTTTCCTGGCTGCCTCAAGACAGAGAGAAAAAGAGCAAAATTGTTGGGAAGAAGGAGACGCTTTGCTCACACAGCTTCGTTTGGGCAGTGGATCCACGGGGACCCCTGTTACCTGCACCACTGCCCTCCCATCACCCCACAGCCACCTGCTGTTTCGCAGGCACCTGCATCATTGCATTTATGTAAAACGTGCAGGAGGTGTGCACTGGGGTCCCCCGGGGCAGGACAGACCTGCTGTGTTTTACAGACCTGAGGGGGCTTCGTGAAGTCCTCTGCCCCCTTCTCCTCCCCTACTGGAGGAACCAGCTGAAACCACGGAGAGCGAAGCCGCCCCAGCTAGGAGAGATCTTGGGGAGGAAGGGAATGGAGGTCTTCAGAGATATTTTGAGAAAAATCCAGAAAATTGCGAGCTGAGACTCCTTCCATCAATGGAGTGGAAATCTAAATAGTTGTTCCCATATGTTTCCCAAAGCAGTCTCGTCACCTCATTAGGAGTTGAGAAACTCCAGTTTAGGGGTCAGAGAGTTGAAAATGATTTTTACATTTAAAAATAACTTTATTGAGATGTAATTCACATACCATAAAATCCACTAAAGGGTATAATGTGGAACTTTGTATTGCTATTATGTAGAATGTTCCCAGAGTGGTGCGACTGTTACCACAATCTACTCCGGAATATTTTCCCTCCCCATCAGAGGTCATTCCTCACCTCCCTCTTCCCCCAGTCCCAGGAACCCATGAATGCACTCTTGGTCTCCATGAGTTTGCCTCTCCTGGACATCAACAGAACCCCGTAATACACATGCAGCTTCTTTTATCGGAATTCTTCTCACTTAGCATAGCACCGTCGAGGGTTCTCCATGGTGTGCCATGTGTAAGTGGCGTTCCACACGGTAGGCATGTCCGTTGGGGTGTTTTCTCACACCAAGCGCGTGTGGGTTTTCCACCCTGGCAGCCCCCGAGGATCCTGATTCAGGTCGGCTCCGACACCATCCAGAGGCAACACGACCTAATTCATAGCAGCTGAGGCTGCCGGGAGTGGGAGCGGGGAGATGGCTGGGACAGAAAGCCCCACGTGAGGGAGGGACTCGTGGCCCTCGACCAGGTACAGCCGTTTCCTGTCACCTAGGTGACCTCAGCCCTGGCCCTAGAAGCCCCCCAACCTCCCCCAACCCCCCTTCTCTCCTCTAAAGTCCTCCTGCAAGTGGGGACGAGCATAGCTCGCGTCCGCCTGCCCCCAAGAATGCTAACGTCCTGAACAGACCTGTTCCTCCCCTGACTCCTCTCTGGAGAATTCGCCTAATTGTAACTGCTGTTACCCACAGGTTAAGGGCTCAGTCCCACAAGAGGCCCCAACTTCAGACACAGGCCATAAATGGGGTGCCCAGGCTACCAAAAGTTCTGACCACCAACTATGGACTTGGGGATTCCCATGATGCACCCCTCCCAGCCTTCTAGAATTAATATGGATAGGCAGGCAGCTAGCTAGGTCTGTGGAGCAGGAATCCCAAGCCCCCTGGTATAAGTCTACCCTCCTGCTTGTCCAAAGGCTCCCTTTCCCGGGCTGCACCTGCTTCCTCTGGGACCTGGGGGGAGGAAGCCGTGACAATGAGGTTATTGAGCTCACGTGGAAACTTGCGGAGGTGCCGCATCCTTCCCAGGTGGCCTCACGCTGGGGGAACTACCCCCAACCTCATAGACGAGACCAACCACTGGGAGGGGGCCTACTGCCTCGCGTGCGCTCTTCCCCCCGCAGACCACGGCTGGAGGGGCTGCCGGGTGCTCTCCCCGGCTCCTTTCAGGCAATCTGGTGCACTACCCGCTCCTGGGGGTATTGCTCTGTGTGGGGCAGTCGTGCTCCTGTGTGTGTTCACTGCTCACCTTTTTTCTTTTTTGACAGGCAGAGAGAGAGAGAGAGAGAGAGAGAGAGAAAGGTCTTCCATCCTCTGGTTCACCCTCCAAATGGCTGCCACGGCCGGCGCTGCGCTGATCTGAAGCCAGGAGCCAGGTGCTTCTCCTGGTCTCCCATGTGAGTGCAGGGCCCAAGCACTTGGGCCATCCTCCACTGCCTTCCCGGGCCACAGCAGAGAGCTGGACTGGAAGAGGAGCAACTGGGACAGAATCCGGCGCCCCGACCGGGACTAGACCGGGACAGAGGATTAGCCTAGTGAGCCGCGGCGCCAGCCCACTGTTCACCTTATAAATAAACTTTATCACTGTGCATCTTACTTGTGTCAGTGCTCGGAATGCGTGTCTTTGTGCATGTCAAGATCCTGGAGTAATATATATATAGTAGCTCCCTTGTGCACATCAGAATGACCCTCAGAGCTAAGGGCAATGACTCATGTGGTGCTGACTGGCTTATTATAGGGATGCAAGTGGAGGAGATGCAGGGGCGAGGCAGGGGATGGCTGCAGCACCCTCCCAGAGCCTCCTCCCTGTTTGTCATCCCAGAAGCAATCGGAATTGCGTCATTCCAGAGTTCACACACACAGCCTCTGCTCCCGCCTGTCTCTGGGGTGAGGGGCTGGCAGCTCAAAGTTCCCACCCTCCAGTGCCAAGTTCACTCTTCCAGGAGGGCAGCCCTAGGTGGAGGCTGGTACAGCTCACCCTCAGTCACCGCCAGCACTAACTCTAGTGTGGCCAAACCAGCTTTCTTTAAATGACACGAGACACTCCTCCGGCTGTGGGGACCCCCACCCTGGCTGGGCTTGTTGGGAGTTCTTGTTTCTACTGAGAAAAGAATTCAAGGAGACGCAAAGGTATACAGGAAAGCAGGATCTAGTGGAAGGGAAAGTACAGAGAAAGGCAGGGCTGCTGCTCCCACCAAAGCTGGGGTCCACCTTTTGTAGGCTAGAGATGGTGCCATAATTGAATATTCAAGTGGGGCGGGGTTTGGGACAGGGCATCTGCATACATGATGATCTCTAGGAAGTGTCATGTCCTCTAGTACATGATGGGAAGTGAGGCTCAGGTGCATCATGGGAAGTGGGGCTCAGGTGCATCATGGGAAGTGGGACTCAGGTGCATGATGGGAAGTGGAGCTCAAGTGTATTATGGGAAATGGAGCTCAGGTGCATCATGGGAAGTGGGGTTCGGGTGCATTGTGGATGGTGGAGCTCAGGTGTGTGAAGGAGGGTGGGTATGTTGAGCCTGCAGTCATGTTGGAAAGGGGTGGGGTTTGGGGTGCACACATGTGAGGTGCTACTGGCAGCCCCCAACTTCTCATTCACTAGGTGCCTACTTGTGCATGTCACTGTCACTCAGGAAATCCCCAGTTTTAGGGTCTGGATGCCTGGAACTGAGGACAAAACCCCATGTTTTTATTATGCTGCAGTGTACCGCATTTTGTCTATCCTTTGATGAGGCTGCGGACGCTGGGGCGAGCCCCGTTCTGAGTGACGCTGCTCAGGATGTAGGAGTTCTCGTGTGGACGTGTGCTTTCAGTGCTGTGTGGTGCACACCTGGGGGTGGAATTTCTGGGTTGTGAGCGTCCTGTGTGAGGAGCTGCTACACTGTCTGCCAAAGAGGCTGTGCCTTCTCCCTCCCACCAGCGGTGTGCAATGCTTTCAGTTCGCCACACCTTGCCAGCTCTTGTTGTCGTCTGTCCTCACTGTAGCCACCCTAGGGGCGATGCATTATCTCATTGCGGTTGGCATGTACCTTTCTGAAGGACTGCAGAAGCAAAGCAGGGGGCAGAGAGCGCTGCAAAGCCTCACATACTATGTGGCTCTGTGTAGACGAAGTTTGCTAATCCTTGTTCAGAAAGTCTAAATAATTTATGAAAAGGCAAAATACAATTAGTGAATGTTTAAATCCAAATTATTTAGCTGAATTTAAGCCAACGTTTAAATCTATATTTTAAAAATCTATTTGGTGTGGGCATTAGTCCTAACAAGAAGCCAGGTAGGAAGCCTGCATTCTGTTCATTTTCAAAGTCGGGTGCCTGGCGGTGAGCCGAGAACTAAGTCAGCCTCACAGCGGGCTTCACACGCCTGATCCTAGGCACACAGGGCTTGGCGGCCAAAACAGCTCTGCCGATGCCCGGACGATCGCGCCTCGTAGTGACTCAGCCAATGAGGAGCGAGGGGAGGGACGTGCGTGCAGTGACTCAGCCAATGAGGAACGGGGGCGGGACGTGCGTTCAGTGACTCAGCCAATGAGGAGCGGGAGTGGGACGTGTGTGTGTGTGTGTGTGTGTGTGTGTGTGTGTATGCAATGACTCAGCCAATGAGGAATGGGGGAGGGACGTGCGTGCAGTGACTCAGCCAATGAGGAACAAGGGCGGGATGTGCATGCAGTGACTCAGCCAATGAGGAAAAGGGGGCGGGACGTGCGTGCTAGGAGATAAATAGCCGTGCACCGCGCCGGGGCGCACTGGCCCACCAGGCTCCTCGTCTGCCTTCTGCTGTATTCGTGCTTGGCGTGGACAGGTGAGGCTCTCACACCCCGGGTCGCGGGTCGCGGGTCGCTCTCGCCTGAGCAGATTTAGGAGCAGAACGATACGGCCGGTGACTGATCACTAGGGGCGAGAACGGCGTGAGTCCTGCGTCAGCACCGCATGGCAGGAGATGCTGGCCTTCGGACGCTGAGCGAGGTGAAGTCCAGCCACACCTTCCTCCGGGCCCCGTGCTGTTGGCTGGGCTCAGGGACAGGGAGCTCCCTGGTTTAGAAGGGGCAGAGGTTCACCTCCAGGGCGGACCCCGTGTCAGACTAAGGGAGAGGGGGAGAGAGAGGCCTTCCATCCGCTGGTTCACTCCCCAGATGGCCGCAACGGTCAGGGCTGGGCCAGGCAGAAGCCAGGAGCTCCATCTAGGTCTCCCACGTGGGTGCAGGAGCCCAAGCACTTGGGCCATCTGCTGCTGCTTTCCCGGGTGCATCAGCAGGGAGCTGGATCAGAAATGGAGAAGCCTGGACTCGAACCGGCGCCCACACAGGCTGCAGACGTCCCAGGTGGTGGCTTTACCCGCTACGCCACAGGGCTGGCCTCTCCGTGTCATTTGTAGAATTAGAGTGTGGGGCCGTGTCGTGGTGCAGTGAATTAAGCCACCGCTTGCGATGCCACTTACCCACATTGGAGCGCTGGTTCAAGTCCTGGCTCCTCTGCTTCCAGTCCAGCTCTTAGGAAGGCAGCGGAGGACGGGCCAGGGGCCTGGGCCCCTGCACCCACAAGGGAGACCCGGAAGAAGCTCCTGGCTTCCTAGCTTTGGACCGGCCCAGCTCCGGCTGTTGGGGCCATTTGGGGAGTGAACCAGCAGGTGAAAGCTCTCTCCCTCTCTCTCTGTAATTCTGCCTTTCAGACAAAAAAAAAAATCTTAAAAAGGATAGTTCAGGTACCAGAATAGTACATTAACGTAGCTTAGCAGGGCTAGGCATTTAGCGCGCCAGCTGAGACACTGGCATCCTACATCCCAGTCTGGGCTCGATGCTCACCCCTGGTTCCTGCCGGTGCAGCCTACACAGACGGCTCAGGCAGTCGGGGCCCTGCGCCCACGTGGGAGACCTGCTTTGAGCTCCAGGTCTGAGTTTCAGCCCGGCCCAGCCTCAATCTGTGCGTGCCTTTGGGAGTAAAACAGTGGATGGCCGTGTTTGCGCTGTCTGTCTCTCTGCCTCCCCCCCAAAATGCAGCAGACACACAGTACCCGACTCAGCTTGTCGGATCTTGATAACTCTGCGCCGTTGTTGCTCCAGGCTTCCTCTACCTTGAAATAAAAGCCCCCAGGCAGGTGGGGGCTGTGAACCGACCTGCAGTTCTCTACGCCTCCTCCCCGGAGGCTGGAGCTGGGCGTCCGTCATTCCCGCCTAACTACCTGTGTTCGTCACGACACACAACAGACTGCACTGTGCTGCGTATTTTTAAACTTTTTTTTTAAAGATTTATTTATTTACTCGAAAGAGTTACACAGAGATAGAAGGAGAGGTAGAGAGGGAGAGACAGAGAGAGAGGTCCTCCATCCTCTGGTTCACTCCCCAGATGGCTGCAATGGCTGGAGCTGAGCTGATCCAAAGCCAGGAGCCAGGAGCTTCTTCCAGGTCTCCCTCGAGGGTGCAGGGGCCTAAGACTGCACCCAAAGACTTGGGCCATCCTCTACTGCTTTCCCAGGCCACAGCAGAGAGCTAGATCGGAAGTGGAGCAGCCGGAACTTGAACAAGCACCCATATAGGATGATGGCACTGCAGGCAGCAGCCCCACCCGCCATGCCACAGCACTGGCCCCCATATTTTTAAACTTAAATTGTGTCATACTTAAGTATCTTCTGCAATGTGCCTGTTTCACTTATGTATTTTAAGATGTATCTCTGTTGGAGCTGGCGCTGTGGTATAGTGGGTTAAGCTGCCACCTGTGACGCCAGCATCCTGTGTAGGTGCTGGTTCGAGTCCTGGCTGCTTCCTGCTAATGAGCTTAGGAAAACAGTGGAAGATGGCCCAAGTGCTTGGGCCCCTGCACCCACGTGGGAGACCTGGAAGAAGCTCCTGGCTCCTGGCTTTGGATTGGCCCAGCTCCAGGCATTGTAGCCATCTGGGGAGTGAACCAGTGGTTGGAAGACCTCTCTCTCTCTCTCTCTCTAACTCTAACTCTACCTTTCAGATAAAGCTCTTTTTAAAAAGATTTATTTATTTGTCTATTCCTTCATCCTCTTTGATGGGCATTTGGGTTGATTTCAATGTTTTTCTATTACAAGCTATGCTGAAAAGAAGATATTTGTACCTGCATGTGTATATGTGAATTACCATTTAGTTACCAGTAGAACAATCACTAGTTTCTAGTTTGGGGGCACTTCACAAAGCTCATGAAAAATGGAATTAAAAGAAAAACTTGTTATGGGGTAACTAACCTTGGAAGTCCCTGCATAGTTTTTTTCACATTGCCATGAACTTTTTGAATGTCCCTCCTATGCAGGGGTGTCACATATGTTTTTGCACCAAAATAGGGCTCTATCTTAACTGTTGTCTCCAAGCTCTTGGGAGGTCCCTCGTATGCCTTCAGTTTTATGGCTCCTCCCTGGAGAGGTTGGGGGAGAGTCCCCGTCACAGCCAGCTCCCAGCTTTGGCAGTCTGAGTGTGCGGGGCTGGGTCACCCCCCCATCTGCCCGTGTCTGCTCACTCATATCTGTGTAACTTTCCCCTTTTATTAGCGACTGTCATTCCCTTTATTTTGATTCCCTGTTTGATCAGGTTTGTGGTCCTTTTCATTATCTGTCTTTTTTTCTCA